TAATTGTGCAGCAGGACTGCATTTACAAGTGTTTCCTTACAGAGGATGTTCTTGTGGCACATTTATCTGGACAAAAATCCACATAACTGAAGGGAGTTTTTGTGCTGCCATTAACCAAGCAAAATTCAATCTGAACCATAGGCTGAAAAGGAAAATGACACCATGTTTCAAGGCAAGTGTAGTAGACACCATAACACCAAGGTGCAAAACTGTGTGGTGTACAAAAAAGTATTGAAGGAAAGTAGCATTGCTGCTTCTCATAATTAGAACCCTTTTACCCACAGGTTTTCAAAAAAACTGGTTAAGATAGGAAAAATATATTATTTACCTTAAACTAACAAAAGAACTCCTTCCTTCACTAAGAGACTGTTAACTTTCTCGTCCAAATAAAAAGTTAGAATTGTCCTTCACTTTAAGAATTAAGTGCCAAATTAACAACAATGATTTAGTGAATGATGAGACATTCATCTCTTTCCTGAAGTTCTAGGTCTTCTTTAGTATTGTCAACACAAATTATTTTTAATTTCTTAATTCCCTCAGTATTTGAGTCAGTATATTTTGTCAGGACAAAGTTCCCTCCCAATATCAATCCTCTCACATAATTTTGTTTGCATTATCTTCACCAGTGTCTAGCAGCAGCGGGACCCTTCAGGAACATAAAATTTAACCCATTTCAAAATCGGGCCACTCCTTTCTCTGGACATAATCTATTAGTGTCAAGATCAATCAGAAGTGCCTACCTTCTACGAAGGCTCAAAGTTTTGGGGTTTTATTCCTCAGATAAGAAAACCACTAAATTCCTATATGAATACCATTTTTAATACAGTTTAAAAATCACTCCAATGACAGTGAAACCTCTAGGAATGATGAGACTTCTTCTTAAACTGGTATGCTAACATGTTTTTCCAAGCATGTGATACCATTTGCTAAGCTGAAAATGTTACTTCATTACTAATGGCTAAAGATCACTTAGAGATGAATAAAGGACAATATGACTGATTTAAAAGAAGGAAGTTTGAAATAATTTCCATTGAAAAGTATCTTTGGATGTGTATTGTGAGTCCGTATTTGAAAGGGACCTTTTTTAGGTAACAATAATGAAAGCTGAAACCCAAACTCAGAGGTCTATTCAGAACACCACTGACTTGAATTTCAGCCTTCTAACTTCACATGCTCATTCTTCTCAACAACCTTACTCAATGTTTGAAAGAAAAGAGAATATTATTCACTCTACCTTTTGGAGTTCTTTCACTTGCTAAGATCCTCCTTGACTTACCAAACCCATCCATCCATCCATCTGGGCATAATCCATATCATGAGATATAGCAGATGTAATCAGATAAAATAGACTGTTCATACCAAATTCAGAATATCGGCACCCCACTCATATTCTCCCCAGCTGCATGACAGGACACAAAATTCCCAGTTGTTTTGACACAGACTTTTTCAGAAATTAAGTTTGTGGCCATTAATCACCTCTGATTCCTGTAACAGGGTCATTTTGAATGGGAAGATATCTATGCAAATTAATAAATTTTCTTGATAATTTTATGCCTGTGGCTTGTGTGTTGTAATTCTGACAATTCATGCAGACAGCATTATGTCATAAATTACCACATTTATCTTGGCATGAATCTCAGTAATCATGAACATTGCCTCTATTATTTAAACGCGTAACATATCTGAAGCACAGAATTCAATATGCAAAAGAAAGGAACATTTAGAAAAAACCCTAGTACTTAAATGAAGAATGAGGACTGGATTTTTCCTAATGATTTGGGATGCAACTCTAATTGAAAGAGAAAAAAATCCATGATATCCTACACTTTGAAGAATTCTTGAAAGCCCAGTCTAAGAAAAAAAAAAATAATCCCACATCAAGCATTAGATTATAATACCTTATGCAAGATTTCTAATGACACAGAAATATTTCACTTAATATTCTGCTTGTATTATGAGTCTGAGGAAAAAACAAGTAAACAGTAACTTTTACTTTAAAATTAGCCCAGATGGAGAATTTTCCATGACAAAATCTATAATGTTTAAGATGAAATCTATATAATGTGAACGATTAATATTTTGTTGTAAAATCATTAGGCTTGATTATAAAATCAGAAACCAGATGATATGAAAAATATTATGAACATACCCCACTGTTATTGAACGTAATTATTTAAACTTGCACGCACTTATATTTTTACATCTGAGTAGCTCCAGTGAAATCAATCATATATATCAAATCAAATTAAACTTATTATACAGATTATGCACCAAATCATGTTAAACACCAAGTCCCTAGCAAATAAAAACCTTCTCTAACAAAACCAGCCCATTTGATACAAAGGGACTGCATTTTTTTATAGAATAGGCTGCAGCTTTATCATTTCAGTCTTTAATTACTGCATCAGATAATGACTATTTTGAACATATGCTTCTCTGCCCTGCTAGAAGACATGAATGAGAGAGAAACAAGTTCATATGCATGATCCTGCGTGTGCATGTTGGGGGAGGGAGACTAAAGAGCAAAAGGAACCAAGTGGCAACAATTGGAGGAAATGGTGCCTGTAACAGCTGCTCCTTTCAGATTCCCCTAGAAGGAGACTGCCTGAGGTGGACCACGGCACAAAGGGATAAAGAAGATGAAAACTGATGCAAAGCAGGGAAATAACTGCTGAGACCCCTGAGTCTACATCCGAATAGTCCCAAGCTGTGTGGCAAGACCTCTTTAGCATGCTACAGAAGCTGGTGATGAACTACATATTACCATGAGGCAAACTGGCTCCTAGCAGTATTGTCTGCATGTTATGTGTAATGATAACCAGTGGGCCCCTGGGAACAGGAGGCAATGATTTCATCTCCGTAAGCATCTGAGCTCCCCTTGGATACAGAGACCATTAAACTGAGAACAGAAGGGGAAATTTCAGGCAATGATTTCCAACTGGAGAATGAAGACAACTTCTGCTCAACAGTACTGTCAACCATGGATATTTTACTGCTGTCTATATTGATCACTGCAAAGGACAAAGGAGCTAAAACTGTACCCCTTTTTCTTAATTCCAGAGAACACAGTGCATTTTTTGAACAAAAGTACTTTAGAAGTTTTTCATGTAATATTATTGGCAATGCTATTATATTAGAAAATGCCACTGTATTATTACCACTGAAAAGTATTGGTATTTCCATTACCATTAAAATAACATTTTATACTTTTAACATAATGTATAACTTGTTTTTGTACTACAGAGACCTTACTGACCTTGCACATTGCTTTCCTTAACTGTCAGGTGTTTTTGTAGGACTGAAAACATTAGGTACTACCTATTGGTTACATATTTAAAATGAGTAGCAGTACATTAAAAAATTCAGGCTTTCAGAAGTTTCCTTAAAAAAAAATCTGCACGCAACAAAAAGAAATGCAACTTCCAAATGATTTCTGTAACTTTTTGACAAGAGACATGGGAGAGCAATGAAGAGAAGGGAATAGCTACAAAACGTAGTCAAAACTGATTCTGACGAAACAATGCCAGGACAACTAATATTTTTGACATTTTCAAGGGTAGTTTGATCCTTTGTATATTTTGGAGAGATTAAGATGCAGGCTTCTTCATTTAGCACATTTGTTTATCTTGATAGGCTTCAGAATTCACAAAGTATATTATGTGAAATAAAAAGTTAAATTAATTTTCTGAGAGTCTGAGAAAAGTTGCTCAGGTAAGAATGCCAGCAAGCTTGTCAGGCAAAAAACAATTGCAGGTAAACTGAAGTAGAAAATATTCTTGTCTAATCTATCACACTGACTTCTTGTAAAATATTCTCATTGCTGTTGCAAATATTAGATAGAATTTTATAAAATTATTTTGAGCTTTTTAGTTTTGAAGTATTTTTACATTCAGCTGCAGGTTTAACTGCAATTCACTGAGAACAGGCTCCTCCTTTCCAGCCTTCAACTTATTTATGCAGAAGATAGGACTTTCAGCATTGAAGAATAATGCATAAAGGTGGTCAATAACTTCTAAAAAAATCATAACAGAAATGAAATCAGACAGAAATCTAGAAGACGTCCTACACTGTAAGAGCCAAGCAAGTAATATTGATATACATGGTGAATTTATTCGCGGATTTCTATTGGTCTACTTCTGAGAAAAACAAACAAAACCAAAAACCATCATAACAAATACCCACAATTAATGACCTCTATAAAACAAGTTCGTTAATAGGATACTGAGTCATTCTGCAGTCACAACAACAAACAGAAAGAGAAATTATTCACATGATTAATTGCAATAATTATGAACAAAAGATTCAAATTTATTTTCCACATTCCTAAGAGGATCATGGAGGACTGTGACTGATGACTGGCACAGAAGAATCAAGTTTCTGCTTACTTTTCCTCTCATCCCGACCTATGAGGAAGCAAGGAAACCCTCCTCCTAGACTAGAATTCCACATGCAAAGCTCTCACTGTCTAAGAATTATTAAGGCTCAAGGGAAACATCAGAAGAGGAGTTTGAACTCAAGTATCCACAGCAGGAATTGCATCAGCATTACAGCTTTTCAAGAGCAATTAATATTTCTTCTAAATTACTGATGTTCTAACAATCTCAGTGTGTGAACTGATATATTTTTCATTGTTTCTCACAAATACACTGTACCAAACTAATTTGTAAAACTGGTGTTTTAAAAACCCAACAAAATAGAGACTATTTGATATTCACATATATACAAGAAGCAGAAGACATATAACCTGAACTGTCAATTTATGTTCAATTTCTACAGATCCAAGCATGAAAACCTGGACTCAATCAGGTTTTTGAGGTAAATCTGGAATTTACTGGAACCACAAATTCTTGAGCCACGTGGGTCCCCGCCTACAGAACTAGATAAAGTTATGAAAGGTCCATAAGCCAAGTCTCTCCAAGTTTTTTCCACTCTGCAAATACCAAACATGCTAAGGAGGGAGAGGAAGACATTGAGAAAGCTAAAGCAAAGAATAAACTTACTGCTAATGCTGTCTCATGTTCTCCAGAAAGATGATATGCTAGACTTAAGCAATAGGCTGCTTCTCCATGCATCTTTATATCACCTCCTAAGGGAAGGGTAAAAGGCAGAGTTACCAGCATGATCTGCACAAAATGACATTGGTGCAGACAGCTCTTGCAGGTTCTTAAACAAGACACAGGTGTTAAAATACTGTGGTAAATTTTTCCCTTTCCTTATCTCCAACATGTATCTCTTTCTGAAAACATACAGTAGCAATTAAAAATAAAGGCTATGGAGTTCACCAAGGAAGTTCAGCAAAGTCAGAGAAAATATGTTCCAGTAATAAAGTACAATCAAATTAACAAGTGTAAGGTTCTCTGTCATTAATTGTTTAATCATGGTCCTAGTGTCTTCACATTAGAAAATTATACTAGTGTCTCTATATATACTCAATATAAAAGTGGGTACAAATAGGTAATAAACCTTAATATATAAACACAAAATGTATCTCAACCCACATATTTTGCTAATGTGAATTGTGGTGAAACACCAAGAGAGAACTACCAGTTGACCGCTCTCATCTTTCTTACTCTCCTGTTTGTTTTACCAGATTAAAAAAAAAAAAAGAAAAAAAAAGTTAACTTATACTTGCAAGCAGTACTTATAGAAAATCCTGGACAGGCTCTTGCTAAGGTGCATCCCACCTTTCCATGCCAGGCTTTATTTCACTGATACCAGTCTAACAAACACTGCTTGCTGGTTCTTTCGCATGGCTCATTCAAGAGAAAATCATCTATTTGATACCAAAATAAATATAAACTAATTATGTAGTTCTTAAAGTATCACACTATATCCAAAAATTTAGCTCCAGAACATGAGTAACCATAAAAGAACCCTGTTGATGAAATGATATTAAAAATAGACAAAATCCAGCTTCTTTGTTGCTCAATATCCATCTGCTCCAACACAATAAATAGCGAAAAATCAACATGAAGAATAAATGCATATCAAAGTATTTTGTAAAATGCATAAATAAATACAGTTACAATGAAAAAGGAGATTGTCTGCTTACAGTTGTAGCCTTTTCTGTCCAAACACACAGAAGCCTACACCTACTTCTGAAACTCTCTGAATGATAATAATTACTGAGGCCACAGCAGTGCTCTATCTATAGCACTTCATATGTTACTTACAATGATTAAAAGTACGTAACTCAAAGACCTGATGGTCTTTTCCAATATTCAACATCCCTTAAAAGGCATAATAAGACATAAGGATACAGAAATACAATTTTACAGAAGAATAGCAGTTAAAAGTTGCTAGGGACATGAAGAACTTTCTTCCTCGCTTAAGAGGATTTGACAGTCCAAAGCAGGTAATACCTAATCCTAATTCCTAAAGTGCATAAACACAGATGATGGTCCAGAATGACAGAATGGGCATTGCAGATAACATCCAGTAGCCAGTATGGCTCTGGAATGAGGACTAGAGAACTCCTCAGAAAGAAATTCCTAATGCTTAAAGAGAACAGCTCATATATTGTTATTGCGCATAGTGGTATGTGCTACATGCCTCAGGAAGCTGTGGAAGTGATTGGTTTGAAATTTGAAAAAAGGGAACCAGAACACCTGCCTGGTCAAAATAAGTTTTGGAAAGACGTAAGATCCATTTTGACAACCACCTAATATCCAGCAGTTTTCACTAGCATTAAGAAGACATTCATATGTAATTTCATAGCAGTTCTTCTAGTTACTGTACCTAATATTAAGAGGAGTGTAACTGTAGCAGTAATTTAAGCATATATTACAGATTATAGCTGTAGAAAACACTACAAGGTTGTATTATGACCTATACAGTCACAAAGTTATTTGTTGCAGAACTTATTTTTAAATTTGGAAAGTATTTTCATTTTTTGCCATTTTTGACAGTTTATCTATTCCAACTATTAGTCAAAGACTAGGTCACAGATTATATATTTGGCATACATTATTAAATTAGAAAACCCTAATTTATCTTATAAATATCAAATTAATATGTATTTAAACAAAAAGTTTCTTCATTGAGAGGGTGTTTGAACAGTGGTAAGTCTTTCCAGAGTGGTTATAGAGGCTCTACCTGTGGAAATACTAAAACCTGACTGGATGTAGTCCTAAGCAGCCTGCTCAGGACCACCATATGATTTCCAGAGGTTTCTCTTCCTACCTCTGTTTTTCTGCGATTCTGTAATTTTTTACTTTAGGTTTAAAAGTAAGTATGTACATTAAGGTAGAAAATTTTGTTTGCTTATTATAAAAACCTTTTTTTTCCCCAAGTATAAATTAACTATGTAGAGTGAAAAGGTAACTTTTCCAGCAGATAATATCAGTCAAAAAATGCCAAATCAACAGTGACTAGCCAGTTAAAATCAGTGACCTCAGCTTCCATCAGTGACTTTACTTTCTGATTATGGGTTCAGTGTTTTATATTATTGTTTCCACAAGCTTGTCAGGATTTTTTTTTTGGAGATAAAGCTTTGAGGAACCTAAAAGTATCTTTGTAGTTAGCAAGAAGGCATTTCTGCTTCAGTGAGATCTGCAAGAGTACTGATAGCATTTGTCGTTGAGTTTCATAGGAAATAATCACCCATTCTAACCCATGACAATTTCTACTTTACTCTTGGGAAAATCATGGCCTGCACATTGAATGAAGGAATGGGAAAGCATTGTTTTCCACCTACCTTCTTTTGCCATCTTTAAAGCTTTTATTAGCATTTTGATGGCCTCTTGGTGTTGTTTATTTTCCAGCATTTTGTCTGCTAGCAACGTATAAATTCTCCAGAGATGCTGACATGCCAGTGAAGTGTAAGTGCGGCCTGTCTCATCCGTCCATGATGTGCCCTCTGTTAGCTCATAAAATGTTTCAAAATACTCCGCAGCTTTCGTGACATGACCTGAAAAACATCATGCATAATTAAAATCAGTGCAATCATCAAAAATTGTTAAAGTTTGTAGTCTATAATAATTTTATCATTATAAGTAAGTTGCAGCCAAACATTCCACAGATTTTTCATGACTCTTCAATACATAACCCACAGATCACTGGAAAATACGATCAAATTTCACAGTACCCAGTAACGCTCTAATTTAAATTTATCACATTCTTAATTAGCTTTCCTTTGTAAATTCCACATGTTGAAGGGATGTGATTCCATGGATGCAATGTCAGGATCTTCTAGAAAATAAATTTATTCTAGATTCATAAAGCCTTTGTGGTTCTCATACATCAAATTTGCACCTATGCATAAATAATCACAACTGAAACCATACCTCAAGTTTCTTTTTCCACAATGAAAACCTGTGGGGAAAGATTTGAAGTGTGGGGGATAAAGGTATCAGAACTGTGGGAAAAAAAATAAAAACCTTCATTTAAACAAATTAATCAATGAAAAAAAGAATTTATCATTCAAAGTAATTTATTCAACAGTTATTGCAAGGCCAACTCTGGTGAGTTTATCTAGTAGATTTTACTGCAAGAGCATTAACCATTGATACATTAATTATTGAGCCTGAAGTAATATACTCCAAGGTCTTCAAATGTAAGTTACTCAAACATTTTTAAGGCAAAGTTTGAAAATAGAATTCAATTTATTTTCACATCCAAGTAGTTTTTCCTCTACCTTCAGCTGGATTTACCTCTGTGCATAAAATTCTGTCTAGGAGATTTCCATACCTGCTGGACAATGAAAATTCAAAGTTCTTGGAGAGAACAAAAAAGCTTTTTCTCATACATAATGGGTATTTCTGGGAAGCATGTAAGATAAGACTATTTACAGTAAAAATAATTCTAAAGCAAGCATTTCGGTCATAATATCTTATTTAGCAAAGACTATTCTGTAGCAGGGACAACTGTGAATGTGACCCTGCCTTCATAACTTTGTGTGTGACTGAGGAATCTCGTCCCATAGATCATCAATATATCAACTGTATTTCTATTAACAGCTGAAAAAACCCATCAAATAGGTTCATTTATATGTTTGTAGCTTGCACCTCTTCTGAGATGCGATTTACAAGGAACTATTGTTGTTTTGCTGTCTTCTTTACAGTCCTGAATTCAAACTGCAAAAAGAAACCAGGAAGGAGAAAAGTTGTTTCCCAGTCATAGGAAAGGAAAGGAGAAAAGCTTGGATAAGAATCTTCTTTAAGCATTCCTTGAGAAAATGAGGTTATCTCCCCAGGCCTCCAGCCAACCTAGAGGCAGCAGAACAGCTATGACAGATTTCTCTTATTAACTCAATTTAGATTTGTCTTTTGCATAGGTTACCCCTTTATAACCATGCTTTCAACTTTGCAATATAAAACATAACTCATCTTTATTAGAATTAAATTTATTTTCATATTAAGTTTCTCTGATGATTAAAACGAGTTCAGCTAAAACTGACAAGCAGAAACTCCTCTTTCAAAAATGCAATGAATTAAATGAGTGTCATAGACAAATAATTTTATGGTTCTACAGCCTAAAATTCACGTAAGAATCCCACAGGAGACAACAGGTGCTGAAGAGTGCAGTGCCAGGTGAAAGGGGAATCAGCAGACTTTATTCAGTTCCATCCTACCTAGGGACAGGTATTGGAGAGATGGCCCAAAACACTGGGAAAACAGGAAAAATTCTACACATTTATTCCAAAATATCACGCGCTTAACATCAGACTGCAGAAATAGACAGGCAAAGGGAAATTATCACAACCAGCTATTAACAGACGCCCTGACAGTAGATGTAACAGAAAATAGACATGTAGATTTGCTAAAGCCAGATGAAAACCCTTGTCCATTCTCAAGAGGCTTCCAATTTGAGTTTTTGTCTATCCAGTTCAGCTAACTTCTTAGGGCACAGTCAATACTGAAGTCAACAGAATTCCAGCTATCCAAGTTGCTAAAGACAGATTTAAGATATCAAAGAAGCTCATGTTTGGTTTGTGACAAATGACTGAAAGTTGAGTTAAAATGTAATGTTAATAGACAGAGCCAGCATTTTGTTCACTTGGTTTCTCATAAGCACATATACTCTTCCTTGGAATTCTCCCTGAAGTTCATTAATAAAGGGATTGTTCTTCTGAAAGGGTATTATCATACATTTGAGCCATGGGGATAAACCACATGTGTAATGGATTCTTTACTAGAATTTGATTCATGTGTTACTCAAAAACTTTCAGTAAGAATGGGAAGCAGCAAACAAATAAGTGGTATTACCATGAAGCTGAACAGTATCTGAGTTTCTCTGGACACTGTAACATGATAACTTAACAGGACACATTGTTTAGGTAAAAAAAACTTGCAATCTTAAGGACTATTGTTCTGGTTGTGAGAACTATCAGGTGTGGTGATTCTTACCCAAGTCTCCTTTTTGCAGTATCCCCTTGAGAAAAGTTGAGGAAGTTTTTATCAGACTAAATATGGAACTCATACATTCCATACCCCCATAGTTCTCAGGAGCTGACCTAACCCTAAGAGCTGTGACCCCACACTCCTTATGCCAAATCTCAGTGAAACCTCTTTGGAAACAATCCATCTACATCAAGCTTCAAAATGATAAAGTAATATGATTCGTTGGATAATATTCAAATGGATCTATATTACATCTGGCTTCACTGAATTACCAAGAAAGATTACGCAGTAAAATGTAAAACAATCTGTTCACAGAAATACTAAAAAGAAAGTGATGCACAGAAAGCCAAAATACCTCATTTCCTAAACAAGGAAGAGATGGAATTCCTGACATGAAAGCCCTTACATGGCTAGGAATTTGCTTACTGAAGACTCATTCAAATAAAAAGAGCTATTTAGAGATTTTTCAAATTCGTGGAAGGTAAAACATTTAAGACTTTGGAACTTATTCTTCCATGAAAATAAACTGAAATCTTTTGTTGCCACTGGCAAATGACACATCAGCTTATTTATTTAATCCATAATGCTTCTGTGAAACTCAAATGTTGTGGGAAAATCATATTTTCAGGGGACTGGTGAGTTTACTCCCTGTCATGAGTCAGTTCAGCTAGAACTGATCAGGCCAGTGAATTCTAATTTTTAAACACTGAACTGCTGCAAGTGTTGACTACAGACACACAGAGAAAGCCATCCGAAAATCTTGAAAAAACATTAAAACAAAGAAATTAGCCAATTGCAGAACATTTCTGAGAATAAAAGCATTATTATCTCACTTAGGCAGCGAAAAGGCAGAGTTTTAAATTACTTATATTATGAACTGAAAAAAAACCAAAGACCAAAAAAAGAAAAATGAGAAGAAAAAACAATGGAGTAAGAAAATCACTTGGAACAGCTTGCAGAAATGTATTTTCATAGGTCTAGGAATTCAAAGAGAAAATCAAGAAGGTGTTTCTAGGAAATCCATGTTTGAAAAATCTATTTGCAGAATGTTACACAAAGCAGTAAAGCTATTTTCAGTTGGCAACATTAATAGGAATTGTATCTTTATTTTCACACTGCCATGCAGAATTTATCTCAGTGGATACCAAAAGGCCTTGTAGAATCTCTGATGTCTCTCTTCTCTTCTTATAAAAGGAATCAAAAACCAGAATGGTAACTCTTACAACATATGTACTACCACTACCAAAATTTTACACTTTAATAATTTTTTATAGTTTAATATAACTCAGGGCATAACAAAGGAAGTCCCATCAGCAACAGCTTAATCTTAAGTATGGGAGGCTAACATTGTCACAATATAATTTTGGGAGTAAAAAATCAGTTTTAAATAGTTAATATATTATTATAAGAAATTCTGACAGATTTGTGCTACTGTTTTCACTGAATTGATTCAAATTAAAAAATTAAATCTATTCATTCAAGCAAAATAATTCAATGCAATTTTGTAAATATATAAATGTTTTTAGGTCATCTAAAAGTTAATTTATAATTCTCCTTCTTAAAACCCAATTCAAAAATACAGATTTTTCATATCGAAATAGATACCAACCAAAAGGGGTATATATGGAGACTACTATTTTGCCTTTTTTTTAAGTAGAAAGATTGACTAGATATTAACACAAATGGGTTTAAATGTGAAGCTGCCATAAAAGCAGGCACATAAATGTAATTCTCCCAGCCGCTATTTTGATGCACATTTTTGATTCCATGAATATTTTATGAAATGGCCCAAACTAAAGCCATATAACATTCCTGCATTACTGATGCTTGCGCCCGTAAGCTACAAACATTAGAGGCATGATTGAGTGCATTAAAATGAACTCATTCAGCAGTGCATTGATTACTTGAAGGAGGAAAAAAAAAGTTACTCCCACTTAAGAAAACAGCACACAAACCTGAAGTTTTCAATACTGAAATTAGAGACTCAAATTTGAATAATGTGGTATTTAACAAATAAAGGCAGTGCAAAAATATCTAGAATTCTATACATACATTCCTGACTTTAATTAGGCGCGATGTTAATTAGGTCCACAGATTGCTTCCAGTAGTGTACAGGTAATTTAAAATGTCACAATCTGCAAAATGCAGTGACTGACCTGCTCTAGCTCCATGCCTCAGCAATACTGAGAGCACCTAATGATTTCCTTTTCTATCAGCTCACGTATTTGCCAATGAAAATAATGCCACAGAAACAACTGCACAAGAAAAGTGACAGGTCTGTTAGGTAACCTGCCCCAGCAGCACCACCAGAAGCAGGAAGCATGTTTAATTCTAAATTGCAAACAGTTGTTGAGGGCTCCAGAAAATATTCCACTGTAGATTAAAACAACTTAAAGGTAAAATAAACTTTGAGTATATTGTAGTATATTTTAATCTAGAGCATCTTCTGCCATCAGTTATTTCACTATACAATGAGAACGCAAAATCTGGTTGAAGCATCAGTTATTGGCAAGGAAAACCAAAAATGCTATTGTCTTTCAAAAGATAAATGCATACATTTCAGTCTAAC